TAACCCAATCAATATTTAATAGCATGCTATTCAGCTTCTAGGTGTTTGAGTATTTTGGGTTGTTTTTATTGTAGTTTATTTCTAATATTATGCCATCGTGGTCTGCGAAGACGCTTTTTATGATTTCAATCTTCTTGAATTTGGGGATACTTTGCTTGTGGCCCAATATATGGTCTATTTTTGAATATGTCTTATGAGCATTTGAGTAGAATGTATATTCCCTGGCTTTGGGGTGAAGTGTTCTGAAGATGTCTATTAAGTCCATCTGATCTAGTGAGTCATTTAGGATTGCTGTATCTTTGCTGATTGTTTGTCTAGAGGGCTTATCCAGTCTTGTCAGTGGTGTATTAAAGTCCCCTACTATGATTGTATTGTTGTCGATCTCTCCTTTGATATCTTCCAGGAGTTTTTTTATGAATTTGGGTGCTCCTGCATTGGGTGCACATATGTTTACCAGGGTTATATCTTCTTGTTGTATTGATCCCTTTAGTATTATGAAGTGGCCTTCCTTATCTCTTGTTATGGCCTTCACTTTGAGGTCTATTTTGTCCGATATAAGTATTGCTACCCCAGCTTTCTTTTCCTTTCCATTTGCCTGAAAGATATTTTTCCATCCTTTCACTTTCAATCTGTGTGAGTCCCTTCTAATGAGGTGGGTTTCTTGTAGACAGCAGATGTATGGGTCATGTTTTTTTATCCATTCAGCCACTCGATGTCTTTTGTTTGGAGCATTTAGTCCGCATACGTTTAACGTTATTATTGAAAGGTACTTGTTTGTAGCCATTTCTGGTTTTGTGTGGCTGTTTTCTTTCTGAGCTTTTTATTTCTTATTTTTATACCAGTCACTTTCGCATTCCTTGCATTGCTGGCTTGGTGGTGATAAACTCCCTTAGCCTTTTTTTTTGTCTGTGAAGCTTCTTATTTCCCCTTCAAGTTTGAATGATAGCCTTGCTGGATAGAGTATTCTTGGATTCAGTCCTTTGCTTTGCATCACTTTGTAAATTTCTGTCCATTCTTTTCTGGCCTGATGTGTTTCTGTTGAGAAATCATTTGACAATCTAATGGGAGATCCCTTGTATGTAACTTTCCGTCTCTCTCTTGCAGCCTGTAAGATTCTCTCTTTGTCCTGAACATTTGCCATGGTAATTATGATGTGTCTTGGTGTGGGTCTTTTCGGGTTCACCTTGTTTGGGACTCTCTGGGCTTGTGTGACTTTTTTCTTCCCCACCTCAGGGAAGTTTTCTGATATTATTTCTTCTAATAGGTTTTCTAATACTTGTTCATCCTTCTGTTGTTCTGGTACCCCTATTATTCGTATGTTGTTTCGTTTCATGTTGTCCCAAAGCTCCCTTAGGCTCTCCTCCTGTCTTTTAATTTTTTTCTCCAATTGCAGTACATTTTGGGTGTGTTTTGCTTCCTTGTCTTCTAATTCACTAATTCGGTCCTCCGCTTCTCCTAGTCTACTGTTGATACTTTCAATGGAGTTTTTCATTGCAGCTATATTACTCTTCATTTCTTCTTGGGTCTTACTTAAGTTGTTGATTTTTTCATCTGTTTCTTCTAGCTTCTTCCATATGTTATCGATTTTTTCATCTGTTTCTTCTTGCTTCTTGCAGACGTTGTTGATTTTTTCCTCCATCCGGTTTATGCACTCTAGGACCCTTATTCTGAATTCTTTTTCTGTCATGTTGCATGCCTCTGTATTACTTAGCTGCTTTTCTGGAGAGTCCTCCTTCTCTTTCCTTTGGGGGTTTCTTTGTCTACCCATGTTTGATCTCACTGACATATCTAGATGTTGAGTTGTTCAGTGGTTGCTCCCTTGGTGGCAGTGACTCCTTGGTCTGTGGTTGCTCTTCGGGCGGTTGCGGTAGCAGCTGCTCCTCAGTTGGCAGCAGCTCCTCTGGTGGGTGCTGTTCACAGCTGTGGTGGCTCTTCTGGCTGGTGGGGCGAGGTTTCACGTACAGCTGCTGTTCCTCAGCAGAGGGTGTGGTGCTCAGGAGGTTGCTGTTGCTTGGATCTGCTGCTTTGATTTAAAGGCACAAAATACAACACAACAAGGCACCACGTACCAGGTACTATACACAAATATATTCACGATATTAATAACCCCAAATAAAGGTGACCACCTGAATTAATAGAATTAGGGGATAAGGAAGAAGGAAGAGAAAAAGATAAAAGAGAAAAAAGAAAAGAAAAGTAGGGACCAAAAAAAGGAGTGCAAAAATGAAATTGGGAAAAAGGAGGGGGGAAAATAAAAGCGAGAAAAAAAAAGAAAAGAAAAAAAAAAGAGCGAAAAGAGAGAATGAAGTGGAAGAGGGGAAGAGACTTTTTTATATGAGGAGAATACTCCTATAGAACAGCCATTAATCCCAACAAATTCCAGCAACAGCTCCCTGGAGATGAATGCAAACTAGAAACAACCAATAATATAACGATGAAAATAGAATGGAGAACACTAATCCCAAAATAAAATAAAGAGAAAATAAAATGGGACTTAAAAAAAATGGTAAAATGGTAGCAGTAATAATACTGGTTAAAAATAAGAAGGTAGTAATTAAAAGGGTAAAATCAGATGATGGAAAAAAGAAGAAAAAAAAAGAAGAAAAGAAAAAAAAAGAAAAAAATTGGATTCTTAGTTAAAAGGTGAAAAAAAAAAAATTGCAGTAGTGAAGGTCCTTCGGTTCTTCTATTCTTCAGTGTGGCTCGCCTTAGACCTGCCAGGTATTCAGGAGAGTGTTGAGTTTCCCTGCGATACACTGTTCCTCTGTGTTGTAAACCACAGTCCTTATTTTAAAGCAAGCCGCATTTGTTTCCCAGACTGCCTTATTTTGTGTTTAGCAAAGAGTCAGTTTGTGGGTCAGCCTCTGGGTGGCAGTGTTCTGGGGTTGGCCTCTGAGGCTATAGGGCCTCTCTGTCCAGTGGAAGTTCACTGCCCAGAGCTGGCTGCATAATAGTTAGTTACCGGCGCTGTGTTGTTGCTGGGATTCCTATATTTTTTAGCAAAAGCAACCATATAGGTTGCTTGGCATAAAAAAAAAATATATATATATATATATTAAAAAGCATTAATGAGAATGTAGAGAAATTGGATCCCTGGTACATTGCTAATGGGAATGTAAAATAGTGGGGCCACATTGGAAAAAGTTTTGTTTTGTTTAACCCTTTTTAAAATATATTTTTATTGATGTTTTACAGACAGGAAGGGAGAGGGATAGAGAGTTAGAAACATCAATGAGAGAGAAACATTGATCATCTGCCTCCTGAACACCTCCTACTGGGGATGTGCCTGCAACCAAGGTACATGCCCTTGACTGGAATCAAACTTGGGACCTTTCATTCCTCAGGCCAATGCTCTATCCACTGAGCCAAACCAGCAAGGGCTGGAAAATGTTTTGGCAGTTCCGCAACATGTTAAATCATAGAGTTACCATATGACCCAAAAGTTCCACTTGTAGGTACATACCCAAGAGAAATGGAAACATGTTCACACAAAATGTTGTACATAATATTCATAAGTGCCCCAAACTGGAAACAACCCAAATATTTATCAGCTGATGGATGGGTAAACAAAATGTAGTATACCCATACACTAGACTATAATTCACCAATATAAAGAAACAAAATACCAGGACATGATATAACATACATAAAACTTTAAAATGTTAAGTGAAAGAAGCCAGTCACAAAAGACCAGATATTATGACTGCATTTATGTGAAATGTCCCCATAGGCATATCCCTGGAGGCATATCCATAAAGAAAGCAGATTCGTGACTGCCTGGGGCTAGGGCTAGGGTGGGAGGACAGGGAGGGAGCACTGGGAAAGGGAGGCGAATATTAATGGTATGGGTTTCTCCGGAGTGTTGCTCAAGTCCTATAATTGGCTCTTCTCTGAGGGGGCGTGGCTAGGCCCGGGGGGGGCGTGGCTGGGCTCTTGGGCAGGAAGTGCCAGCTTAAAGCCTGGCTGCGAAGCTCCCTGCTACTTACTCAGCCAGGCATGGAGCAGGAGTGCGCTTGCCTCTGCGGCCCAGGCCCTTCGCGAGGATGCCAGTGTCGCCAGCAGCGCCTGGGACCAGCTGAGATGACTGCGGCCAACAGCATGCCGGCCGGGGCCCCTGAAGAGCAGCACGTGGAGGCGGACATGGCGACTCGGTCCTCTGCTGGGAGCGGAGGGATCAGGAGCCCCATGCCATCCCGGCTGCCCCCGCGCTGCTCGCTGCAGGACCTGCCTCCTGAGCTGCTGGTAGAGATCTTCGCCTCGCCCCCTGGCACCGACCTGCTCAGCCTGGCCCAGGCCAGCGCCAAATTCCACCGCATCCTGCACACCGACAGCATCTGGAGACAGCGCTGCTGGGAAGAGTATGGCGCTTGTGAAAACTTGCAGAACCTGGAGATGATGGGTGTGTCTTGGCGAGAACTCTATGAGAAGTTGTTCCACCCATGCAGACACATTTTGGGATTGTGGCAGCCAGATAACTGGCCCTGTGGAGGACTGCTGTATGTAGTGGTGGACGGCTTATGCATTATTGGTCAGACGTACCTGTCTCTCCTTGACCCCCAGGTGGATAACTCAATGCTGTTCAAGCCCACGTTTAGAATTCGCCTGACAGAGAGGAAATCGGCCACAGTGGAGTGCACGTATGGCCGCCAAGGGCCCCACAGCTGCCACATGCTGTTGGGAGCCATTAAAGATATTGGCTTAAACAAAGCCATCTTAAGAACTATAAGTTTCTGGTTCCTCCAGAAACTCCTAATTACCAGAAACCACCTGTGTCTTGCAAATTGGCCAGCAGTTAAAGATAAACTATCCTCACACAGCCGCTAAATCACACATCTCCACTGATAAGCACACAGCCATCCAGAGCCTGCTAAATCACACATCTCCGCTAATAAGCACAGCCATCCTAAATCACTAGTAATAGGTTACTGCCCATAGACCCCTTTACCCACCCCCCTTCCCTAAAACAGTATATATTCTGCCGCTGTGAAAATAAAGTTTGAGGCTTGATCAGAACTTGTCTTGCCTCCATTCTTTCGTGTCCCTTGCTTGTTTCATTCTCCTAGGGTGTCTCTTCGTTCCCACGTTGTTGTCCCGCGGGTCGGGACAGTCTGGCGCCCAACGTGGGGCCCTGGGGACCCCCTGCGAGAACGTCTGCTTGAAGCGCCTGGCCAGGCACCCCATAGAGTCGCCGCGCAGTATTGACTCGTGAGTGAAGACTCGGCATCTTGATCGCCACGGTTTCACCCGCCCGTGAGACAGATCGTTGTGAAGGTAAGCAGACGAAGCTTTCCAAGCAAGAATTTCAAAATACCTCTTGAGAGCCTTCACCCTCTTTGGCACCCCCTTTGGCTGGCCTTTTTTAGTTTTCTTGATCTCCCTCCAGTCCACTAATAAGCACTTCACCTCGCCGTTCGGGGAAGAGTGAAGGGTACCCGACACCGGCAGTGAAAACTCTGAATCACTGGGAAAAGTAATTTTTCTCTGGCCCGACCTGTGTCGCCCTCTCTGGCAAACTCTGAGCTCGCTAAGTCTTAGTGGTTGCCATCCTGGTATGGGGCTTATACATCCCAACCTATGACACGCGAGCAGAGGCCGTAAGGTAAAAGGAGAGCGGCTACATAAGGATCACCAGGGATTTAAGAAATTCCCAGCTGACCTGGCACGGGGTTTATACGTCCCAGAGGCTTACGTGGAGGAGGAAATCTTGAGAACTATCCAGCCAAAATAATGGGCAACTCATTGAACTCTCATGAGGTATTTCTAGGTGGGCTCAAGGAGTCCCTCAGGACACGGGGAGTAAGGGTTAAGAGAAAGGATCTTAGACAATTCTTCTCCTTTATTCATGAGACCTGCCCATGGTTCCCCCTAGAGGGCACTATTGACCATAGACGATGGAAAAGAGTAGGCGATGCCCTTCAGGATTTCTATCAAACCTTTGGCCCTGAAAAGATCCCTGTCTCCGCCTTCTCATATTGGAATCTTATCCAGGACATCCTTAAGGTCCACCCTAAAGACCCTGACATCCAAGACATAATAAAAACAGCGGAAACGGCCCTTAGGGATAGCTCCCGACCACCCTCTGCCTGCCCTTCAGTATCTGTTGATATCCCTGAGGAGCCCACGGCACTCTCTAAAGAAATCACTAAATCTCAGCCTGACAAAAAATCTCCAGACATCTGTAATAAACCTGAAACCCCTCCCCCTAAAATCTCAAGTATCTATCCTTCCCTCACCTCCCGAAGACATCTGGAGGACCACCTGTCTCCAGAGGATGAGAAAACCTTAGAAAATCAGGCCGCCCATTATCACAATAATAAAGACCCCTGGCGTTTTACAGCGCCGGCTCTTCGTAGCACCTCTAATAAATCCTTTAGGCCCCCTCCTTACAACCCCGACCCCTCACTAAACATCCCTATTTTTCGAATTCCAGCCCTGGAACCATTCCACGGCCCCTCTCCCTCCCCCGATCCTATCCGGCAAGCTAAAATCTCCCTAACTCAGGAAATTTCCTCACTAAAGGAAATCCTACAGCAAAAACGGGAACACGTCCAACTTGTCAAAGAAATCCGAGCCCTCGAGGCTGAACTCACATCCCTAAGCCCCAATCAACCCACCCAGCCTCCTAAAAAACCCACAAAAAATCTAAAATCTAAAACCCCTGTCCTCGCATTTCCAGTTACCCGTAGTCACAACTCCGGACCTCCTCCGGAGGACGTACCTCTCCCCGAGGAGGACGGGGAGGGGGACTCTCCTGACTCGCAAAACCGAGACCAAAATTCTACAGATGAAGCCTCTGATACAGAGGACCCCGTTTCATACCAGGATCAAACAAAAAACCAAGCCAAAGGCCAAACATACCGCCGCTTAAACCTAAAACATTTAAAAGATTTAAAAGCGGCTGTAACCAATTATGGCCCTACTGCCCCTTTCACCCTAGCCTTAATCGAAAGCCTGAGCGATGGATGGCTGACCCCTAACGATTGGCTTTCCCTGGCGCGAGCCACGTTAGCAGGAGGGGAGTATGTCCTATGGCGTACGGATTTTGTGGAAAACTGCCGCGAAACCGCGCAGCGCAATAGTGAAAGTAAGACCTCTCGCTCATGGACTAGGGATAAGCTACTTGGGCGCAGCCCCTATGACACCAATGAAGCTCAAGCAGCCTTCCCCCCCGGCCTTTTAGCCCAAATCCAAAACGCCGCCCTTAAGGCTTGGCGGCGCCTTCCGCCTAAAGGTTCAGCTACCACCTCCTTAGCAAAAATTCGCCAGGGCCCTGATGAACCGTACAGTGATTTCGTCAGCCGCTTAACTGACGCGGCTGAACGACTAGTCGGGGAAGGAGAAACAGAAAGCGCCTTTATTAAACACCTGGCCTATGAAAATGCTAACCCGTCTTGCCAGGAGACTATACGACCCCATCGCTGTGGCAGTCTCTCTGATTATATCAAACTTTGCTCAGGTATAGGAACCTCCCATGCCATTGGACTAGCCATAGGGGCTGCGCTTAAGGACTTTACCAAGGATAAGCAACAAAAAACTTGTTTTAATTGTAAGCAGTCAGGGCATTTTGCTCGTGAGTGCCCAGCAGGGACACAGCCCCGCGCACTCCCTAAAACAATTTGCCCTCGATGCCGACGCGGCTTACATTGGGCCAGTGAGTGTCATTCCCAAACAGACATTGAAGGTAAACCACTTCTACCAAAACAGGGAAACTCCCAGAGGGGCCAGCCCCTGGCCCCACCATCAGAACAGAACCTAGGGGCAGCCAGGTTCGTTCCCCAAGCTCAAACACAGAAACGAGCCTTCCCCGAGCAGTCAACTCCCTCTGCCGCGCCACTCCGGGAAGCGCAGGATTGGACCTCTGTTCCGCCTCCAACACAATACTAACCCCGGAACAAGGGATTCAACTTATCCCTACAGAGGCTTATGGACCCCTACCCCCTAGAACATTTGGCCTAATCTTAGGACGAGGAAGCTCTACGTTGGCTGGCCTCCACATTACCCCAGGAGTTGTTGATAATGACTACACGGGACAAATTACTCTCCTAGCATCAGCCCCGACAGGCCCTATATCTATCCAGAAAGGAAAAAGAATAGCTCAGCTCATACTACTCCCCTTAGATTCTACAAATAAAAGCAACAATAAAAACCCCAGATTAAATGCTGCCTTTGGCTCCTCTAATACCTATTGGGTACAACAAATTACTCCTGAAAGACCTTTACTTACCCTTAAATTAGATGGAAAATCATTTAAAGGATTAATTGACACGGGGGCAGATGCCACTGTCATTGCTGCCCATCTCTGGCCAACTTCTTGGCCCACTACAACAACTATAACTCACCTCAAGGGTATTGGCCAATCTACCAATCCTAAACAAAGCTCAAAGGTCTTAACCTGGACCGACGATGAAGGCAACTCTGGGCAGGTACAACCCTATGTAGTCCCCAATCTTCCTGTTAATCTATGGGGTCGTGATATACTATCTCAGTTAAAACTCATTATGTGCAGTCCTAATGAAATTGTAACTCAATTAATGCTCAATCAGGGCTATCTCCCTGGGCAAGGACTTGGAAAAAACAATCAAGGCATCAAACACCCTATCTCAGTTGATTCCAACATTGATCGTTCAGGACTAGGAAGTAAAAATTTTTCATAACGGCCATTGACTTCCCTGTACCCCATGCAGACAAAATCAAATGGAAGTCCAATTCCCCTGTGTGGGTAGATCAATGGCCTTTAACAAATGAAAAACTTTCGGCTGCCACTAGGTTAGTGCAGGAACAACTGGCTGCCGGACATCTAGAGCCCACTACTTCTCCTTGGAACACCCCCATTTTCGTAATAAAAAAGAAAAGTGGGGCATGGAGGCTCCTCCAAGATCTCAGAGAAATCAATAAAACGATGTTTACCATGGGAGCCCTCCAACCTGGCCTCCCCTCTCCCATAGCTATCCCAGCTAATTATTTCAAAATCATTATCGATCTTAAAGATTGTTTTTTTACCATCCCCCTGCATCCCCAGGACAGGGAACGCTTTGCATTTAGCCTCCCAGTCACTAACTTCAAAGGTCCAATGCAACGATATCAATGGAAAGTCCTCCCCCAAGGCATGGCAAACAGCCCCACACTCTGTCAAAAATTTGTTGCCCAAGCCATAGACCCTCTCAGAACACGATGGCCCTATATCTATATTATCCATTATATGGATGATATCCTCTTAGCAGGAGCTTCCACCTCCGAGGTGCTCAAATGCAGCCAAGAATTAACCCGCCAACTTGCTTCCTTTGGGCTCCAAATCGCCCCTAATAAGGCCCAGCTTAAAGATCCCTACTATTACCTAGGCTTTGAGTTAAACTCCAATAAAATCACCACACAGAAAATTCAACTAAAAACCTCGCATTTACACACCCTTAATGACTTTCAAAAATTCTTAGGCGATATCAACTGGCTTAGACCTTATCTCAAACTCACCACTCATGACTTAAAACCCCTCTTTGATATTCTACAAGGAGACCCAGACCCGTTATCCCCCCGTACTCTCTCCCCAAAAGCAAGAGAAACTCTCCACATAATTAACAAAGCCATACAACAACAGCAAATAACATTCATTTCATACAATAAACCCTTCACCTTCATTATTTGTGCTACACCCCATACTCCCACTGGACTTTTATGGCAAGATAACCCCCTCTTGTGGGTTCACCTACCCTCTTCCCCATCTAAAGTACTTGTCTCATATCCCTCCCTAGTTGCTCTCCTCTTAAAAGTTGGCAGAGAAAAAAGCCGACACCATTTTGGCAAAGACCCTGATCAACTCATTCTTCCCTATACTAAGGAACAAATAAACTGGCTCTCACAAAATGAGGATGATTGGGCTATATCTCTCTCCTCATTCCAGGGAAAGATTGATAGCCACTATCCCCCTCATAAACTAATCCATTTTGCCCGTTTACATCCATTTATATTTCCTAAAATCACCTCAAAAATACCACTAAAACAAGCTTCCCTGGTATTTACAGATGGATCCTCTAGTGGTACAGCTGCTTATATCATTGACAACCAACCTTATACCACCCCATCCCCCTTCAAGTCTGCACAACTTGTTGAATTATATGCAATCCTCCAAGTATTCACAAAATTACCTAACACCCCCTTTAACCTCTACACCGACAGCGCTTATATAGCACTCTCAATACCCTCACTAGAAACAGTACCCTATATCAAGCCATCTACTAATGCAGTCCCACTCTTCCACCAGCTCCAGGCCCTTATCATAGCAAGAAATGTTCCCTTTTATATAGGGCACCTAAGGGCTCACACCGATCTCCCCGGCCCTCTCTCTCATGGCAACGCCCTCGCAGACAGACACACTCGCCTCACATGTTCCCTTTCTATAGACCTGATTTCTAAAGCCAAGCAATATCATAGCCTCCACCACGTAAATGCCCATACGTTACGCCTCCTGTTTAAAATCACCAGAGAACAAGCCAGACAAATAGTTAAAAATTGTCCAGGATGTGTTACTCTCCTCCCTCTTCCTCACCTAGGAGTCAACCCCAGGGGCCTACTTCCTAATGAAATTTGGCAGATGGATATCACCCATATATCTGAATTTGGCAATCTTAAGTACGTCCATGTGTCCATCGATACCTATAGTGGATTTATCTTTGCCTCCCTTCATAGTGGTGAGGCTTCAAAGAATGTTATAGCCCATGTCCTCCAATGCTTAACTACTCTCGGGAAACCACAAACAATAAAAACAGATAATGGACCCGGGTATACCTCCCAGGCTTTTAAAAACTTCTGCCTTCAATTTAACATTAAACATATCACTGGAATTCCTTACAATCCCCAAGGCCAGGGAATAATTGAACGGGCTCACCAAACTCTCAAAAATGCCATAAATAAACTCAGATCAACTAACACATATCCCACCAAAGGTTCTCCTCGCAATCTCCTATCTCATGCCTTATTTACCTTAAACTTCCTCCAACTTGACAAGGAAGGAAAATCTGCTGCAGACCGGCTATGGCACCAAGAAACAAAAAAACAATATGCTAAAGTCATGTGGAAAGATCCCATGACCGCCAAATGGCATGGCCCTGATCCAGTTCTCATTTGGGGACGCGGATCTGCATGTGTCTATGACACGCAAGAGGAAGGACCACGATGGTTACCTGAACGTCTAATTAAACCCATTAACCCCTCGAAATAATACACTCATCCAGGGGAATAGTCCCTGAGAACGATTTTTCCCTTTCTCTTTCAGGAAGCCGAAGCCATCTGGCATCGCCGGTCAAGGTAATTGCCCCTTAAAAATGCTCTGGTATTCTCTACCCTGGTACTTTTGGATAGGAATTCTCCTTGGCTTTTTACTTATATTCATTTCAGTCCTCTGTGAGTGTAGGCGCAACCCTGACCTGATACCTGGAGGAAGACACTTTTGTCCCTGTTGGGCCACTGATGTATAAACCTCCTACAATTATAATGTTCCCTCAGGCGGTTGTTATTCTCTCCGTCCTGCTCCTTACTGCCCTCGGTGCGCTGCAGTCCCCCCCAAACTTAGCTGAACTATCCAAAGTGCTTTTTGGGCCTCCCTGCGACTGCAGGGGAGGTCACACTGCGGTGACACCCCGGACACACCAATACACCCGAACAACTGATTGTGGCTCCGTTACTGCTTACCTTATCTCTGAGCCTCTAAAAACAGGAGGATACAAAACAAGCTGGAAATGTGTAGGAAAGCCCAAAATCATACCCCCGATTAATGATAGGCCAGGGCCTTGTCCCTCGGACTGCCAATCAGCCACTGAGATGCACTCTACCTGCTATACCACCGTTCAACAGTGCACTAATTCAGAGGGCAAAATACAACTCACCGCTATCCTACAGAGAACATACAGTGGCTCGTTTGGAGGCGAATATGATCACTCCTCCAGCAGGGGACATTCTAAATATGCCCAAGCCTCTTGCCGCGGCAAAATTGGCAAACCTGTTTGCTGGCCGCTGCAGGCACCTATCCATGTGTCTGATGGCGGCGGACCGACAGACAGGGTTAGGGAAGCCATAGTTCAAAAACAAATTGAAGAAATTTCCAGAAATATGTATCCCCCTGTAAATTATCACCCCTTGGCCTTAACCAAGTCTCGAAGCGTAGATCTCGACACCCAAACCTCTGACATATTAAAGGCCACATTTCAAGCTTTAAATACTACCAATCCCTCCCTCGCAGAAGATTGCTGGTTATGTATGACTCTTGGCACAGCTATGCCCCTTGTCATACCAGATAATAATGCTACTGCCATCACTTCCTATAACAATTGTACCCTTAGTTTACCCTTTAGAACTCAGCCTATTGCATTCAACTTGTCATCATGTTTACAAAAAGAACCCAAAAATAATAGCTATGATTTAGATGTAGGATTCGTCAGCTTTACAAAATGCTCTTCTATTAGTAATTATAGTTCACCCCTCTGTCCCGCTCCAGGACGAGTATTTGTATGTGGGGGAAATATGGCCTACACGGCCCTACCCACAAATTGGACAGGATTATGTGTACAGGCCAGTATTCTCCCGGATATTGACATCATCCCAGGAGGAGAACCTGTCCCCCTGCCCAGCCTTGATTACATCGCTGGACGCAGTAAGCGGGCTGTTCAATTTATCCCTTTACTTATTGGCCTAGGAATTTCTGGAGCTGTAGCTACCGGTACAGCTGGGCTAGGAACAGCATTGCATACCTATAACAAATTATCTAACCAGCTAATTGATGATGTCCAAGCTCTCTCAGGCACTATCAATGATCTCCAAGATCAGATAGATTCCTTAGCTGAAGTAGTACTACAAAATAGAAGAGGGTTAGATTTGCTCACAGCAGAACAGGGAGGAATATGCTTGGCCCTACAGGAACGCTGCTGCTTCTATGCCAACAAATCCGGGATCGTCCGAGACAAGATAAAGAAGTTACAAGAAGATCTAGTGAAGAGACGGAGAGAATTATTCGAGAACCCCCTTTGGAGCGGATTGAACGGACTCCTGCCCTACCTGCTTCCTGTTCTCGGCCCCCTTATAAGCCTTCTCCTAATCCTAGCTTTCGGCCCCTGGGCTTTTAGAAAATTAACAGACTTTGTAAAACAGCAGGTTGATAGCGTCCTGGCCAAACCCATTCAGGTACACTACCACCGTCTAGCCATGTTAGACCGTGAATGTGATTATAATGACTGCTAAAACTCCCTCCCTGCGGGGACAGCATGACGCCAGAGGGATGCTTGCCTACTCCCCATAGAAGGAGAAGGGCATGGGCACCGACCTGGGTGCACAGCAAAGCACTGCAAGGGAAGGTCACAAAAATTTCGACCGCCTCTGGATTTCCCTGTGAGCACACCTGGTTTGCATAGAGGTTGGTATCCATACATAACTATCGGCTCTGCCTCTCCTCCCCAAAAGATACCAAGAGCCACTGACGGTGGGATCCCACCATCCCACGGGAGGAACCAGGTCCCTACTCCCCCAGTCGGTTAAAGCCCACCCTTAATAAAGAAAAAGGGAGGAATTGTTGGGAGCCATTAAAGATATTGGCTTAAACAAAGCCATCTTAAGAACTATAAGTTTCTGGTTCCTCCAGAAACTCCTAATTACCAGAAACCACCTGTGTCTTGCAAATTGGCCAGCAGTTAAAGATAAACTATCCTCACACAGCCGCTAAATCACACATCTCCACTGATAAGCACACAGCCATCCAGAGCCTGCTAAATCACACATCTCCGCTAATAAGCACAGCCATCCTAAATCACTAGTAATAGGTTACTGCCCATAGACCCCTTTACCCACCCCCCTTCCCTAAAACAGTATATATTCTGCCGCTGTGAAAATAAAGTTTGAGGCTTGATCAGAACTTGTCTTGCCTCCATTCTTTCGTGTCCCTTGCTTGTTTCATTCTCCTAGGGTGTCTCTTCGTTCCCACGTTGTTGTCCCGCGGGTCGGGACAACATGCAGATTCGGAAGGACGGGTTCTCCACCAGGTGCAACATGAGGCAACACCACAGGATACCTGGTGGGAGCCGAGAGGATTTACGCGCGTGGCTGCAGGAAGAATGGGGACAGACGCTGGAGCACATTTTCCAGGAGCGCAGGCTGCGGTTCATGCTGATGAAGCTCATCTACCATCAGAATGACAACTGTCAGAACTACCGCCGCATCTACCTCTCCCCGAGCCACCCGGAGGACCTCATCAGGCCAGGCCTCTTCAAAGGCACCCACGATGCCTACAGCCTCGTAGAGGTTGTCATGCTCAGCTTCCATGGGAAGCATGCCAGGGTCACGAAGATCACGGGTGACCACCACGTCCCTGCTGGGCAGCAGATGATCGAGATCCACCTCAGGCACCGCATCCATTTGTCTGATGATATCCTCAGCAACTTCAACAAGTACTCCCGCCTGGTCCAGGAGGTTCATGAGCAGGTGATCCAGGAGCAGCAACAGCAGCAAGAAGACAGCACTGAGGAGGGCGAGGGCCACGGCTGGCTGAGCCCTGTGCAGCCCAGTGTTGGGGAGTCTGGGGCTGCAGCTTTGGAGGAGCAGCCTGTTCAGTTTGTCCTGCCTGCGGGTGTGAGCTCAAGTAACCAGAACTACCCCGGAGCCTGCAGGATGGGTTTCTATGGCGTGGGCATTGTTGCCCGCTCTGGCTCCGCCTACCCACAGCGCATCCCTGGAACCTTCATCCTGTTGGATGAAGACCACTTCGGGTTCATCTGGCTGGAACCGAATTGCCTCAGCCTGTACAGCAGAGTCCAGGTCAACTTCCAGAATGCGGAAGCACCATCCCCACAGGCTTTCCAGGAGATGCTCAAGAACATTCAGTCCCCACCCCCTGACGGCCCCTTCCTTGCCCAGGGGCAACAGCGGGGAGAAGAGGCTTCAGAGGAAGAGCAGCTTGCATGTACTTTTGGAGATTTGACCTTCTGACCAGATTACCCACCTTCTTGTTTGTTTGTTTGTTTGTTTTTAATCCTCACCCAAGGAGATTTTCCCATTGATTTTTGGAGAGTGGAAGAGAGAGGGAGAGGCAGAGAAATATCGATGTGAGAGAAACACATGGCTTGGTTGCCTCCTGCATGTGCCCTGACCAGGGTCAGGGCTGGGCAGGCCTGCAACTGAGGTAGAATCCAACCCTAGACCTCTCAATCCACAGGCCCAGATTCTATCCAGTGAGCCAAACCAGCTAGGGCTGAGCATGTCTTTTTAAAAGGAAAGGAAAAAATAAAGAAAAGATCCTAAACTTAGTGGTAATTGTTAGATTATTACAACTCTGAAAATAATAAAAACACTGAATTGTTTATTTTAAAAGAGTGGATTTTATAGTATGTTAATTATATCTCAATAAAGCTGTTATTAAAAATAAAATAAAGAAAAAGGATGCACAGCATTGTTTCAAATGATGTCAAGGGAACAAGTATGATCTATACTAATAATCACATCATCACAAGATGGCCATCTCAATATGGCTGTGTGTACAGCAGAGTCAGGCCAGTTGCCGCTCCACGCGGTGAGTTGTGGGGGTCCTGTGGCTCCGGGTGGCACGAAGATGGCCAGTCCCAGTGGAGGAGGCACGTCACGGCAAGGGAGGGCAGTTGGGGTGATCAGGCCAGCAGGGGAGGGCAGTTTGGGAAATCATGCTGGAGGGGCTGGGGGGGGGGGCATCTGTGGGAAATCAGGTTGGCAGGGGAGTAGTTAGGGGGCGATCAGACTGGCAGGTGAGTGGTTAGGAGCCAGTGGTCCAAGATTGTGAGAGGAATGTCTGACTGCCAGCAATCAGACATCCCCTGTGGGGTCCCAGTTTGGAGAGGGTGCAGGCTGTGCTGAGGGACACCCCACCCATGCACGAATTTTGTGCACCGGGCCTCTAGTCTATGATAAAGTAGAATTATGTCCAAGGGAAAGTAAATTATTAATAGATTTTGGAAGGGATTAGGACATTTACTCTATATGTGGGTATATTTTAATTTCCAGATAAAATTGACATTTATTTTGTCTAATGTAGAAAAAGTAATACACCGTAAAACTACATATAGAGTAGGAGAAGCCTCATATACTGAAAACTTAAATCACCTCCATAGGTTCCTAAGGCCAGATCTAAATATGAAGAACACTCCCAAAATGACACTTCAATTGTTGGGCCATAAAAAGTTAAAACATTTTTTTGTGTTCCGTAATTAATATTTTCACTATATTTCTGAACCATCAAGTTATTTCAACCAGACATCAACATAATGTTATGGTGAAATACATTATAAATAGCAATGAAACAGACAAGAGTTAAAAATCTGTTAAACATGTTAAGGAATAATGGAAAATTCTTGGCCATACGTATCAGTACATTTGAATTCAAGAGTAAAATATAAATATGAAGGTGATAAATTAAAAATCAGATCTAGACATGATATTGTGTAATGAATGAGATTTGATTAAAATATACAATTCAACAATGGGAAATGTCTCTAAAATCAGTGTACTTATTTTAAATTACGACAGATGAGATTTAGATAATGAGAGTTATAAAGTAATTTTTTCACCATTCCAATTTTAAATGTGAGTTAAAATTATCTCCTGAGAAGCATTTCTAGAGAGTAGATGTTTCTGACTTAGGAATAGAAAACATCTATTTTAAGCATCTCTAAAGTATTTTCTAATCAGACTTATCAGCTCTCTAATATCATAATTTAAAACAATTACATTTTTCCCCTTCCTAAATATTCCTATTTCCAGAACACACAAAAATAAATTTTAAAGAACTCTTAAAAAAGAGAAAATTCTGTGTTCATCCCCAAATAAATCCATAGTTCAGACTATATTTCCAATTTCTCTTAAATTTCTCCACTTGGATATCTTACTTATGCTTCAGATAGTGTATATCCAGCTCAATTCCCTTTTCCTAATCCTGTTGGTTTTCCTGGCTTCCTTAATCCTATTACTGATTCTGGGATTAAGTCATTTTAGACTCTTTCCTCTCTTTACCTTCAGTTTGTAATTGGTGAACAAGTCCTACTAGATCTGATTTTACTCCTTTTCTTCTCACATCTTGCACTTTTTCAGATTATCTTTACCTGTGTCCCAAATGTTACCCTAGTTTCCTGACTTGCCTCATTTGGACTCTTCCCATTCCAATCCACTTTAGTCCTTATTTCAGACTAATATAATGGAAGCTCAATTCTAACTAAATAAGTCCTTCCTTCAAAATCTATTAAACACTGAACGAATACAAATATCTTCACTTTGTATCCAATATTTCCCCAATTTACTTTTCTAATTTTATCCCCATACTCCCTTTTATGCACCTCATTTCCCAGTAAAAGTAAAATATTGCTTCCCATACATGCCCTTTATTACTTCTACTGATATGCCCATGTCTTTTGTCCGTAATGTTTCCAATACACTCATCACTGATCCAAATCCTATGTAACTAATTGACATAATATCTCCTCAAAATGATTCCTTCCACTCTCTA